TTCTTCTTCTCTCTCTCTCTCTCTCTCTCTCTCTCTCTCTCTCTCTCTCGCTCTCTCTCTCTCTAGGTCTCTATGTCTCCGATTCTTTGCGTCGAGTCTATAAAACTTTCTTATAAACTAATTTCCTTCGATACGGAGAGTCGCACGCGAAGATCGGTGTAATTCTACAAGCTATCGTCGTTAAACGTCGGTGAAGTATAAAATCCCCTCGCAGCGACGATCTCGCGCGCGGAATAAAGCGCGCTTTAACTCTTACCTTATTTTTACAAGGACGTGAAAACGACGGTGCTCGAGACGAACGACGCGACTAACGACGTTTCTTCGATCCGTTTCCCGGAGATGACGTTCGTCGCAAAGGCGGAGGAGGAGACGACCCTCCCGTGGCGCGGGACGACCGTCCGCTTCGACCCTCGTCGAGCGGAGCATCCCAGTGCCTTCCAGTTCCCGTCCACTTAACAATTTCACTTAAAAACTTGAAACTCACGGCCGCCAGTTATGGTCTCTTCCTCGAGAAGTGCGATTCATAAAGCGGAGAACGCGCGCCGTTATTATACGGAGCATCGACGCTTTCGTGACGCCACGACGCTGTTTACGGAACAATATTTGCGCGCGGTGTGTGCGTGCGCCGGTTATCGTCGGTGTGTTTACCCTGATGATACAATTGTATGTACAACGCGGGAGGCCTCTCTGTTCGTCCACGGCACTCGTGTTGGTCGGCCGGCCGGTCGGTTGCTCGTCGTCGTTGTTGCGATGTGCATAGGCCGCGTGTAACGCCGGATATCTGTGTTTGTACATTCGGAATATGCGGAATATGGCCGGCCGTCGCGCTACCGATTTGCGACGGAAATACCAAGGAGATCCTGATAACCGGCTCGCGGAATAATAATAATAATAATATTCAAGTGTATGCCGCGTCTGCTTATATGGTATTTGCGTATATGATACGATCTCTGCTTCTTATCTCTAGAAATATATAATTCATAATTGCCAACGTTTTAACTTCGTATTCGTAAAATTTTAAAATTCTCGACACATTTCGAAAGAAATTTGGGAAATTGGGGAATTAAATTCGGAGGAGATAAAAAAGTCAAAAATTTCACTCTGAATTTTCGCTCCGGTCAAAATTAATTTTTTAAAGTTACAACCAGTTTTTAATTATCACATTCTCAGCTCGCATTCTACAAATCAAATAAAGGCGTGTTTACAATTTAAATTAAAGTAGCATTATTCCTCTTTCTCTCTCTCTCTCTCTCTCTCTCTCTCTCTCTCTCTCCTCCTCCTCCTCCTCTCTCCTCTCTCTCGTGTAGAATAATTAATAAATATTCACTAGAGCGATTTCCAATGTTTTACATTTTCCTCGCATTCTCTTTTTTTAATCAGTGAAAATTTATTATATTAAAAAATAATATATCGCGAGAGTATATACTGATCTCGCGGAGCGAGTGGCGATTTTAAGAACAAGCTTTTCCGAAGTAAGGAAGCAAATGGAGTTGGCGGAAAGTATTAATGCGAGGTATGGAAGTAAGATAAGTGAGCCGTGGCGGCCGTTACGCGCCACGGCCGCCAGATATATCCGGGATCGCGAAACTAATTCCAGCCTCTAATGGTTCTGCCAATAGCAATTTCTATAAGACTGAATAGTGATTCTCAGATATTAAGAGAGAGCGAGAAACTTTCCCTCGGCCCTTTCCGCACCGGGGAAGAGGTCCTGCGCTCCCGTGCAATTTCCGTCCGCTCCTTCCTCGTGCCCTGTTCCTGTTCCTATTCCGTTCTTCTACCTATCCCTGACCGCCCTGGAGTAGAGACATTAAACACCTAATGGGCTTTTTTTCTCGTCACGCGAATAGCGAAAAGAAACCGCAATGATTGATTTTCGTCTAACTAACGGCGAAACTTTTTATCTCGAACGAAACGCCGCGAGGAACAATTCAATTTAAACTAAATGGAAAACCTCTCTGCCATTTAGAAAAGTCTATCTTTATTAATCGCCATAGACACCGTTCGATTATTGATTATTAAAAAGTATTATTTAACCGCGCGATGAATTTTTCATTTAATAAAAAAATATTAATGTAAAAAATAAGATAATCAGATTTATCATGTGTCTATTAGACTAATTTATATTTAATAGATATATTTAGATTGTGCTTCTATCATTCATTCAATAATTTAGTCACTTTATATGATCACATATATAGATAAATTCATAAGTATTCTATATTATCGCTAATCTAATCTTCTCTAATATTGTATGATTGTACTTTTAATTTTTGACACGTTTAGATATACTTCTTTTACGAATCGACTTTCGACACGCCCTACTACTCGATCAAATGATTTATCAAAAATATTATCAAAAATATGAATAAAGTATGACACAAGAGACATAAAATCAATGATTTGAAACATACGACTTTATGGATTAGTTTAGAACAACGCGCGATATGAGCGAATCACTATCGTGATCGTCGTCGTATCTTTCTCAGACTATTATCTAATGTCATTTGAACCGATGATTTTCTATTATTATTTTTCCGTACTAAATACCGTATACAAATGATTCGAACAATCGAATCAATTGAGTCAATATGACTTAATCTAATTTCCGACAAGTCTCGGGATACCGCGCAAAACTATCATTCTTATCAACGAGTGTGCTCTCATCAACGTTGCGACGAATTTCAACCAGCAGTTGTTCAAAAATTCACTCGCTCGTGCATCTTGAAAGATCATTTCCCTCGACTTTCCTCGTGGGAATTTCGCGATTTTCAATTTCCTCCTTCCTGTCGGTCCCCGCTGAGAGCGATGTCGAAAGGTCCGATAGAGATTTTCGGTGAGATCTCTTATAATGTCAAATTATCTTTCTTTGGGACGAACAATTTACGAGAAGTAATATGCTCTCTCGGTATCCAATAGAGGAGCCTCTTGTGGCACTGGAGCGAACCGATTCTTCATCCTTCGGCCACTTCAATCGTTCAGCTCCTTTTGTATCTGAACAAAGGTCTTGCCTTTCGTCTCGGGCGAGAGACGAAGAACCAGCACCGTGCATACCGTCACGATTACGAAGAACGCTAGGTAAGGCACCGAGTGGCCGCAGTTCCATTTCACGGCTATCAGGATGTAAACCTTAAACATTATTATGCCGAAGCAGCCGCCAGAGGTGGCCACGAGACACGTGCTGAGAGCCTTGACTTCGGTGCCAAACATCTCGGACATCATGATCATCTGTATGGGAAGTAGGCCGCAGTTGAAGGCGAACACCAGCAGCATCGCCGCGACCAACAGCACCATCGAGTACGCGGACACGTCCACGTCTAGGTAATCCTTGGCGTAGAAGAAGACGCCGATGACGAGATTCGACACGGCGGCGGTCGACCCGGAGAAGAATATCAGCGGCTTGCGACCCAGTTTGTCGACCAGGAAGATGGTGATCGTCGCGGAGATCACCTGCACCATGCCGATCATGATGTTGGCCATGTGATCGGAGATCATCTGAAGCTCAGCCGACTTGAAAAGGAGCTGGCCGTACGCGATCAACATGAAGAAGCCGCCCGCGTAATGGGTGAGGGTGATGAGATTGATAATGATGGAGGCGCGACGACTGGCGCGCTCGGTCAACAGCCGTTTTACACCCCCAGTTTTTTGCTTCTGCTTCTCGTCGGACATCGACTCGACGATCATCTGTAATTCCTCCGAGACGTTCGTCTTACCACGCAACTTCTCCAGCGTCGTCTCCGCCTCGTCCGTTTTCCCCGTTATAACCAAGTAATACGGCGATTCCGGCATGAAGCAGAAGGCGATCGTGAAGCCGACGGACACGACCAACCAGATGGTCGCCGCTATCGATATCGATAGATATGATGCGATGATGAACATCGCGAGAATGCCGAAATTGAACATAATCGTGCTCATGGCGCCTCCAACGCCTCGCGTACTCGGCGACGCGATTTCTCCAACGTACATCGTGAACACGCACATAAATTGGCCTAAGCACAAACCACCCATAAGCTTGGCCACGTAAAGAACCTGTAAATGGGCAAATTTATGTTACATTATGTTACAACTCTAATATATTCTATCAATTTTTTTTTAATTCTGTAAATTGAAGAAAAGAACATTATGACACTGGAGAAACGAAGAAATTCTCTCTGACAAATTCTATTCAAATATTAAGATCTCTGTATTTATGATTCTCTTTGTAACGTAAGAGGAATTTCTGAAAAGATTTTTCACATGCAGCGTAAGGAACCCCATATAAATCTTATGGAAAATGGCTCTCGGTCAAATTGCTTCCAATTTTAATATTTTGTAGCTTTCATGTCAAACTAATTAAAAATGTTGATGGGCAAAAACCTCCAAATCTCAATTTTTGCTTCAGGATCCAAAACGTCATCACATCTTACACAAAAATAAATTTTTTTTATTTTAACACTAGTTATGAATATTATATAATCATGAATATATAAAGAAGTATTGCATTTTTCATACCGTAATTTTGAAAAATATTATACAGGTATAAAATATTCTGATAAAAAACTTTATTTTAAAAAACTTTTTGATTCAAAGAAGCACATTAGGATTTTAAAAAATTGAAAATATTTTATTTTGTGTCCGATGTGTGATACGAACACATACAGCGCCTAGTAATGAGAGAGAAGCGAGCAAAAATGGCACATCTATGTATATGTCGTTCATTTCGGGTAATTCTGAGAACGCGCAAAAAGTCATAAATGTGCAGATACACATTGATACACGTACAAATGTAATAAAAAAGACTTATTTCAATTTTTCTCTACTTTTTCATATAAAATATAAAGACCTTCCGAAAGTCCTGGAGTAAAAACTGAAACATTTGAAAAATTTCGTACCCGTGAGGACTTTTAATCAGCCATACAAAATATTAAAATTTGAAGTAATTTGACCGAAATCCATTTTCCATAAGATTTGTATGGGGTTCTTCAAAAGAAAAAAAAAAATATTCGCTAATATTTCTCAAGAATAATCCGCGCTTAGCGAAAATACGTTTGCTCACCCAGATATTCGTGGCGATCGTGATTAAGCCCCAACAGGTTATCGATGATATCCCGCTGAACAAGATGGTCTTCTTTCGGCCTATTCTATCGACCATGAAGTTGTTGATTCCTGGTCCCAGTATGTGACCGATAGCGTACATGACTAGGAGAGTGGAAATATTCGAAACGGTAACCGGAATCGGCGAGTCCGGCGCCATTAGCTTCACGATAGTTGGCGAGTCCCATCCTACGATCGCTCCGATGCACATGCTCATAATTGAACCTGGATTTCAAATAATTGTACCACGTAATTCCTGGTCGATCGATCGAAAGATCCGCTAATAGCGGTAATAATCGGCGGAAACAATAGAGACCGAATTATCGTCGAAGCAACGATGGTAAACGTTCGCTTCGTATGAAAATTAGAACGGAAATCGTTCTTACAATTAAAGAAGACCAGGTACTCCCAGGTCCTCGAGCCCTCCGGCGTCCTGTATTTTCCCTTCTCGGAATCGGCACCCATCACGTCGGCGGAATTACTCCAAAATTTTCACAAAGCGAACACCTTGCGCGATTCTGCGATCTCACAGCGCTGAACGTGACAGTGAAGTACAAGAACGCGATGAAAATGGAAAATGGAAACGATTCTAAATTTTCTATATCTGATGAACAATTCTTGTGAGATAACGAGATAACACAATAGAAGCTGTGGTAGAAACAAGTATGATTTGTGAGATTTATAGCAATACAAATATACCGAAGAGGGTAATTGAAAAAAGAGGTTATCAAATGATTTCATATCTTGGATTCTCATATCTGCTCGTTTAAATATTTCACAGACATAACAATAAATTATATTTAACGTTCATACACATTGAAACATTCGTGACATTCAGCGTAAATTTCCATAAACTTTGATGATATGTATATCTTAATATATGTATTTTATGCACGTGCGCGCATGTGTACGTGCGTATTCTAATTTTTCAAATATCTTTTGTATCAAAAAACATATAAAACTACAAATAAAAATCTATTCCAAATTTTAATATAAATTAGAATAGATCATTTAAAATGGATTTTATTCATATTTCATTCAATTTCACTATGTAAAATTGAGTTGATGAAATATATATATATATATATATATATATATATATATATATATATATATATATATATATATATATATATATAATAA